TGGGGCGGGGTGGGGGCAGTCTGTGTTGATCATTGTGATCGTTTTCCCGTTCCTCCCCTCCTCCCTGCACCTTCCCAGTATCGCTACTCCCATTTCTGTTCCTGAGAGATTTATCTGACCTGGATTCTGTGTGTAGTGAGTGCTTATCTGTACCAGTGTACATGCTCCAGTCTAGCCAGAACTGAAAGGCAGTACTGGGGTTATGATAGTGTGGGGTAAGGAAGCCTCAAAAAACCATAGGAATATTGTATGTTTCATCAGTGCTATACTATGCCCTGGTTGACTCATCCCTTCCTTGTGATCCTTCTGTGAGGGGATGTCCTATTGTCTACAGATGAGTTTTGGGTATCTGTTCGTTATCAATAATATGTTTTTTTGTTTGTTTGGGGTCTTTGAATGCCTGTTACCTGATCCCATGGACACCACATGATTGCACAGGCTGATCTGATGTGCTTCTTCCATGTGGGCTTGTTCCTTCTCTGCTAGATGGCTGCTTGTCTAACTTTAAGCCTTTAAGACTGTGTCCTTTTTCCCCTGCTTATGAAATAGCTCTTTTATTGTCAGGGGCATGGAAACCCAAATTGACCAAACTCCTCTATTTGCCTAGTCTAACCCAACCATTTGGTGGGAGTTACAGATAGAAAAGCCATGCAAAACATTTGCTGTATGTATGATGTATGACACTGTATCTTTTGATAGCCGGGTACCATAAGCTTTCTTAACCACATTTGCTTATGCACCCATTTTATCTTCAGCAATCGTGTCGGGAGGGTGAGCATCACAGAATACCAAGCTGTTAGAACAAAGTGTTCTTGGGTTGAGGGAGGGCCTGATCAGAGGCTCAAAGTCCATCCACGTCCTCAATGTATTGCCATATAAATATATGTACATAGGCCAATACCTCTATTTTATGAATTAATATATTTACATATGTGCACACCTATGTTTATACATCTATCCATAGCTTTCCTTCCTAAAGCTTTCCTGTTTCCTCCTGCTCCACTATAATGTTTGGCCTTCTTCTGACTCTTAGTAATTTCTCTCAGCTAGACTGCTGTTGCTCCACTACCACTGGGATCTCTACATCCTCCTCATTGTTGATTTGGACTCCCTAGTTGTTCCCCTGTCTATGGGGTTGTTTGCTCACCACTCCCTTTCCCTGACTCCTCCTACCAACAAGTCCCTCCAGGAACATCAGTCCCATTGCTTTTTCCTCGGGCTTGCTTCCCATGCCAACATTAAATAAGTAGGCAAAACAACAATAACAGAGACAAAACAAAAAGAAAATAAAACATTGAATAAAAAGAGAAAAAAATGGCACCCCCCCCCCTCAAAAGGCATACATAATTCCGGGTCTGTCTGCTGACCTTTATGACTAGCTCCCCATTGGTCTTGGGAGATTCCAGGAACTGCCCCTCCTAGCCTGAAGTCTATTTTAGGGGCTCCTCAGGGATGTTGTGGCTTGTGCTCCCACTGCTGATCTGTTATGTTCTCTTCTTGATTCGCTCCACTATGGTGGGGAGAGGTGTTAAACTGCAGACTCATTACTCGTCGTATGTGCCCAGTATTTTCCTCTGTCACGGTATGCTCCAAAAGTATGGAACGCTTCATGAATTTTCACTTCTTTAGCTAAGTATCAGTTAAGTAAAGATTTACAGTCTTAGAAAGCCACAGTGGGGGTCACTATGAATCAGCATTGACTAGATGGCAGTGAATTTTTATTTTTTAGCTAAGGATCCAAGATTGCTTCTGAAAGTTGGATCACAGATCTCCTCAGGAATCCAGATCCCCATAAAAACATGAAAGGATGGGTCACTCAGATCCCAACTAATACATATTTGGAAAGGCCCTTTTCCTGCCTTACTTTCTACCCTCACAACAGTGAACGTACCTGAAATGCCCAGCTGGTTCTATTGTACCCGTGTAAAACCTAATGTATCCACAGACATCAGCAGCCATGAGGAAGAGGCTACCCCAGCAGAGGACTCTGTATCACAAAGCACCTTGACCTAAACCAGCGAACCAGTTAGAGGCCAAAGCACCTTTTTAAGAAAGAAAAGTACTCCTTCCACAACCACATTGAACACCCCTTTGCCTCTGCTCCCCATTTTTATCCTGAAAGATGTTTCTTTGGAAGAAAATTACCCTTTCTTCTCTTGATAGTAGAACTTGTCATTGTGAGCTTTGGCCCTTATATAAATAAATTTCTTTTGTCTCTCTTAGCTGCAGTGAAGTTTCAAATGTTCATGAAAATTAGATCCTACACATTCCTCATAGCAGCAGTTTCGACTCCTGAAGAAGTGTCAAATGATTTCAACCTCCTTGATTAATACCACTTTATGTCAATTCTGACTCCAGTGACAAGGCACCCTCCCCCTGGACAGATAGCAGGACCAAAATGGCTCAGAAAGAAGTAACTCCAGAAGAAAGATCACCAGCACAATTCCCAAAATGAATTTTGGTCCCAATCTCTTGAGAGGGGAAATGTTAGGTAGTTAAATAGTTTAGAGCCAGGGCAGTGGGATACTGGGAATGAGGAATTGACTAGTAAAACAACCCCAAAGAAGCAAAACAATTGACTAGCAAAAAAACTATCTAGAAACTGAGTGGCAAAGAAGCTGGGTCAATAATTACTAGATAATGGCCAGCAAAAGGAACCCCAAATAATCTAAGCAAATATAATCTAAAAATTGACAAGCAAAACAAATGCAATGCTTTTTAAAAATAGGGCAAAGAATATATAAGGGAAACCCATTAGGCAAGTAGGGCACTCACATCTCTTTCCTGAGCTACCTGCTTGGTATGCTAAAATCCCTATGCTTTGATGAACCTCCGTACTTTTACTTTTGATAAAAACTTTTTCTATGCTTTGCCACATGCTTTGTCTCTTGACTGAATCCTTATCACAAGAAGACTAGGAAACAAGGATTAGAACCAGACTGGGACTCACCATCACAAAAATTTGACCCTATACCACCAAACCAAGGAACCAAATGCCATAAGATGTTTGTTCTTGTTGTAAATATATCTTTCATGCACGTCTGCCAATTTAGCATTTTACAAGTGTACACCTTAGTGACAGTACTTACAATAATCAGCTGTGGAAACCTACTCTCAATGGGGTCATTATTACATAAGCACTAACAACCGTGCTTTCCACTTCCCTCCCATCTTTGGTAACCACTAATAAACTTTGAGCTTTATACATTGGCCTTTCTCTCACCTTTTAATCTAAGTGAAATCATAGAATATCTGTCCTTTTTGTGATTGAGTCATTTTACTAAGCACAAAACATTCAAGTTCTATCCATATTGTAGCATGTATCAAGACTATTTAATTTATCCTACAGGCTGAGTGGTATTGCATTGTGTATATGGATGGTGTATTGTTTATCCATTCATCTGTTGGTGAGCATTTAGATTGTTCCTACCTTACTGCTTTGATGAACATTAGTATATGAGTCATTAAAGATTTAAATAAATGAATAAGATGTTCCACATTCATGGACTGAAGATTTAATATTACTAAGATGTCAATAGTACCCAGAGTATGATTGATATATAGATTCAATGCAATCTAAGTCAAATTCCAACAGCATTCTTCAAAGAAATGAAAAAAATCAATCCTTAAGTTTATATGAAATGATGAGAGGCTCTAAATAGCTCAAGCAATGTTAAAAGAAGAAAACACAAAAGGATTTACACTTCCTGTTTTAAAACTACAATAATCAAAATAGCCTAGTGCTATTATTATGATAGACTGACCAATGAAATAGTGTGGGAAAATAAGCAAGGGTAGGTATAAGAAGAGAGGCCAGAGGCAGGACTACCTACCAGGGCAACCCAAGAACTTCAGTCTCTTCTCTAGCTACAGTCACCACCATGTCATCCAAACTGCCTTTCATTATCCTGTACACACATACCCATTATTTAGGTATCCAGTATTTCCTGTTGCCTGGACCTGAGCCAGGGCACAAGCAGCTGTTTTCCTTAAGATGGAAAACAAGAATTGCTTTGACTAGACAATCTCTTGGCTAGACAGCATTCCTCTCCTCCTCCTCCACTGACTCACTTCCCAGCAAGTCAGTCCCTTCCTTGTTGACTTGGAAGTGATACTTAGTACATTTATCTGTTTTTACCTCTTCCTGTCCATTTCCAGATCTTCTATGCAGACAGCCAGGCCTGCCTGGGATTAACCCTTCATATGCTTGTGCTTTTCCTTGTATTTTCTAGGAAGGAAAAACACTCCTTCTACATGCTTATTCCTTAATTGGTCAGCAATGGTTCTTCAACCACTCTAATTACTGCAAAGGGCATGACAAACAAGGATTCCCTTTGTTAGATTTGGTCTAGCCCTGCCTTCTACAAGCTCCCCAAGAAATAGCTCAACTAGGAGAAAAGTCATACTGGAGACTAGGTATTACTATTCCAATTATCATACATTTTGGACCTCAACCCCTCTCAGCCAATGAGAACAAAATCACTTTGTCATTAGGGGAGGAGAGCTCAGAAAAGATGCCAAGCAGAAGAGGTCAGAAACAGTGATTCCACCTTTGAAAAATGCAGCTTCATTCATCCACTATTAATTACATGGCACTGCCTTTTGTTCAGTGTCAGATCCAGGTTGAGTTCCTTTCTTATTACTTGCAGCTCAGAAAGAAAATGAATTCTTTACTGTCTGCACAGTAAAGAATTGCTTTACTGTGCTGGTGCTGCTTGCTAGTCTGGCTTTCAATAGAGAAAAGTCTTTTGTTTTTGCTTCTTGTTTCTTTGTTAGAGCACAACTTATATATTTCAAATGGACAAAACATTAGTATAATGTACAGTATGTACAGTGTCTTAAGATAACTTGCCCTTGAATGGGAGCTTCCTGTCCAGTACTTTGAGGTCTACAAGATGTTATCTAAAAAATATACTACCATGGAAAATGAAGACTGCTTAAATTGAATGGGGGAGGGGAGGGCCTGTGGTTTTTCTTGGTAATTAATGTGCAGTAAAACTTTACTTGCTGTAACACTGTCCTTCGGGTGGCTGAGGGAGTTTCAAATTTTCTTTAGACATCATTAGGTGCCGGAGCTCTTGCAGGACAACTTTTATGCTGTAGGAATTCTGCCATTTTGCTAGCACTGATATGGCTCTTGAGTCCACCACTCCATTAGAACTATTAACTCTGTTCATATTAATTTTTGTTACAAATCTTACAAAGGGGGGTGCTTCTGGGTATTTAGGTCCATATTCTATTTTAAGGTTGCATGTCCAGTTTTCATAAATTGTTCTTGGAGGCCCAATTATCATCCCTGTCCACCTTGTAAGTGTCATGTCTTCATCATCTTCTAGACCCCAGCTAATTGTGCCATCTCCTACTCCTTTCTGTCCTTCTTTGAATTCTTCCAACAGTGGGAAATTGCGAGGGACATTTACACCCAAGCCCATGGTGGCTGCCATCTTGCGTCGCTGTTGCTCGAAGGCCTGAGAGAAGTCTTAAACTTTAGGATCAGCAACATTCATGACCATCCATTCTAGAGAGACTGGATCTTTTTACAACAACAAGGAAAGAAACTCAAAAGAGTCCTTGTTTCTGGAGCAGCTTCCTTTGCTATAACTTGGATAGCAATGTGTTGGGAACAATTTGGATAGCCTCCAAGAGGTGCAACTACGACTCAAGCTGGGGGATGGGGAAAGGTGTGTGTGTGTGTGTGTGTGTGTAAGACACAGGGAATTTGAGTAAAAGGTTTGTATCTATACAGCAAAGAACAGCAGATTCCTTCAATTCCCATAAACTTCTGAAGAGGCTGAAATAAAGGAAGAGAGGGCCCACTTATTCAGCAAGTACATCTGCCAAATGGGCAAAGCTTCTCTCTGGGGCCACACCCAGCTGGGTTTGTTCTCTCACTTCACTTTCCTGTTTGACCCAACTTCCTGCTTGTAAATTTCACAGGAAGTACTTGTAGACTGGAAACATAGACTATTTGCAGCTATTGGATGATGCCAGGTCTGTCTAGGGCACCAAAAAAGGTCTCTACACCCTCTCATCATAAATATACCCCCTGTGACTTTCAGCACTATTATCTCTAAAGCACACTCAAGTTAAACCAAAACTCAAGAGTCTGATCCCTTGGCCTGCTCTGTCCTTTACCCCTGGGTGTTAAAATTGCTAAAGCTAGGATCAGCCTACTTATGCAAGGGCAGGAATAAGTGCAAACTCAGGCAAAAAACTCCTTTTACAATCTTTGTGTCAGCTGCCTTTCTATCTTATAATGAGCCAAACAGTATTTGGGGTCCCTACAAATTTAGACCTCTTATCTCAGAAATAATTTCTCAGTTCTTTTAGGAGCAAAGTGTAGTGTAATAGGAAGAAGTTTTGAAACTTCTATGACCGTCCTATTTCTGAGCCTCAATTTCCTAATCTATAAAATGAGCCAATAACACCAATACCATTGCAAAATTATATGGAAATTAAGTTAATAGACATGAAAGTGCTTGGCACATCATAGGTAGAATATGATCATTAGAAACTCCTTTTTTAGCCATAATATTACAAATATCCTATTCCTCTCAGGAAATGATTAAAAACAAAAACCTATTTGACTGCAGAGGACTAGGAGTTGCTCAAAAACACTCCTTAAAAGCCGTCAAAGGAGGATTAATATAATGGAAAACTCACATTGTAAATGCTATTGTACAGTACACACTTGCAAAAATTTGAATTGGCAAAGGTTACATGATAGATATATTTATTGATAACAACAAAAAGAGTAGCTGCTGGCTTGGTTTCTTGGTTTGGAGGTTTAGGATCATGGTTCCATCATATATCCCAGTTAATTGGCCTAATATTATATTTAGTGCTTCTGTCTCATATTTTCTGTGTTGTACCTGAAGACGTAAAAGCTTGCAGACAGACATCCAAAGCTCTCTTCACCAGGAGCAACAGAGGAAGAAGGAGACTCAGAAATGGGGGAGAGTATGGATTGCATGGCTAATTGCCTCCAAAAACTGCCTGCTTTGCTATGCTATGAGAACAGAAAAAGACTGGATGGTGCTACCATTACTTAACAATTTCATCAAAAGTAGATCATAAAGTGGGAAAAGCACTACAAAATTTCAAATTCTCAGAAACTAACCATGAAAACCAGATGAACCCTGAGATAATCTTTAAACCTTAATCCAAAATAATGCCAGAAGTCATCTCGAAAACATACAGCAATTTATCTGAACTAGTAAAATATCTCCCTTGAGCATTATGCTATATAAGAACTATCTACCATATTTAAGAACTATCTACTACATTAATGAACTACCACTCTGTTGCCATGGAGTTGAATCCTACTCAGAGACCCTATAGGGCAAATAACTGATCCTATATAGGGTTTCCAAGACTAAAGTTTCTCAGAAGCAGACTATCTCACCTTTCTTTAGTGGGGTTACTGCTGTGTTTGAACTGTTAACCTTTCAGTTAGCATCTCAATGTGCTACGCACTGTGCTGTGAGGATTCCTCAAAAACTATCTATTTGGGATCAAATGACAACAGCTACTTGAAAGATTACGTGTGAATCTTATGGGGAAATCTGTGAATTTATGTTGATAAACAAGGAAGAGCTCAGAAAAGGAGGGTAAGAATTGCTGCTCAACTCAAATAATGTAATCAATATACAATGCAGAAACCATTGAATTGCTGTGTTTTTACCAGGGAAAAATGGTGTTTCTAGTCTAAAGCAATCCTACTTTGTGGGAAAACTCAGAGGTGTAAAAAGTTTCTAGTTGGCTAGAAAATGTGAAGACATGCACATCAGACATACACATATCCTTACTTTTAAATTTTTTCTCTCTTGGGAGAGATGAGGATTCCTAACACACACAGCGGGAGCCTTCAGGGAGACAGAATATAACAGATCATTTAATGTGACCCTATCTTTTCAAAGGCTGCCTGATTTTTCCTCATTTTGAGTTCCTTCTGCCTTGATATTTTTCTCCAGTCACATCCAATGAATATACATAAATCCCCATTCCTGCAACTCAATCTTCCAAACTCCCTTCTTGGGAGGTGTGGTAGTTACAAAATCTGGTGTCAATTTGGGACTTAAGAGGATTAAGAGTGAAGGGGTAGAGTCTAGTCTGTCAATCAGGTCATAGCCAATGAGGCCTCTGTGTGAGCATGGCTTTCTCATGAAAATTCTGGGAAATCCGGTATTCCCTCTTTTAGGAGGGAGACACTCACTCTCTCTGCTGACTCCCTGGGAGACATCCCTGAAGAGAAGCCACATAGTTGTTTGTGCCCATTTATGAACGCCAGTGGAGCTCTGGAAGCTGGAGAAGCCATGTGGAGACCACTGCAGTGCTGAGATGCTTACAACACCACTAGATCCAAAGACTTTCAACCCACTGGCCTGTGATCGTCTTGCATTTGGCATCATTGCATGTATTTCATGAGTCTGAAGATGACTTTATCAGACATATGGGCTAATATTGGACTTATGGACTTGATCTGGACTGGGCTGGGACATTTTCTCAATATTCAACTGATCTTGTATATAAACCTCCTTCTTATTCACATATGAGTTTCTATGGATTTGTTTCTCTAGTCTACCTGGACTAACACAGCAGGTATCAAGAAGATACCAAACTGAGTCAGCAAACTAGCTCATCAGAGTCATCAAAGGCAAATTTTAAAAATACAGATTTCCTGATTTCATTACAGAGATTCTGATTTTTTAGGTCAGAAGCAGGTAATGTTAGATAGCTAGAGATTTATGGATAGGGGGTGGTGATGCACCTACCATACCTGCAAGGGCCCCCACAGAGGAGGTTGGAAAGAAATAAGGCAACCATTAGACACCTATGGGAAGACCCCATACTCACACCCCTAACCCAGGTGGGAGGTCCACCTGGGTGCCCAAACTAGGCCCAGGCTCAAGACACCACACAGTCAATAAGGTCAAGCAATACCTTATTGCTCAGTGGCAGGAGGAGGGTGAGGGGCTCCCTCCTCTGCACAGATGCGCATGCGCCCACTCTAGACCTTCTCAGGGCCCACAGACTCTTGGCACACATGCCCTTATCCTCTAGGGTCCTTGGGCTTCTGGCCTCCCAGGACACACCCCCACCCATCCCCACCCAGTCCATACATGTGGGTGCTCTTTTCCAAAAGGTTGTTTGTACCCAATTGTGAACTTCAGTGCGGCTTCCACACAGTTTGACATGCTTCCCAGAAATAGCATGTACCCTTTTGAAATGGTAAAACCTGAAGCTTTTCCATTCCTTCATAAAAACTCACTTGGATTATAAAACGTGCATCAGCATGAATTCTTTCAGTGTGTGCAGCAAAGAATTGAGGTATAACCCACTCCAGAAACCTAACAGTTCCTGGCATTAGAAGTTAAGAACCCTAGGTAATTCAAAGGTCTAACCAGATTGAGGAGTGCATGGTATAGTTCCTTGAACTAACCAGCCTTTCATGAACTGATATTAATAGGTCTAGAGGGGGCCTGATGGAAGGAAAGCACAAGCAAGAGCAACTGCTGAGACATCTGGACTCATGGGCATGATGAGCACAGCCTATCCAACAGAAATAACAGGGATGTTATTTGCCCCCAAATCCTTCTGCACCCTGGTTTCCCTGCTTGTAAAATGAAGGAGAAAAATCCTCTCTCTCCCTTTCTAGAATCATCAGTACCCACTGTTATGGAGTCTAGCTTAGGAGCTGGGGTGTCCATTACTTACGCAGGCTCAGAGGTCCGAGCTGCCAGCCCATGAATGAGTGGTGTACTGCACATGCTCAGAGGTTCAGGCTTCCAGCCAGGAAGGGGAGGTACACCTGGGCGGGGGGTCGGGGGGTGGGGAGGGGCGGAGGGGGACGACACTGCACCTGGATTGGCCCACCTAGGCCAGGTGAATTCAATTCAGCCAATGGAATTGACCAGGGTATTCAACCATGCCTCCCCGTGGAATAATTGAAAAGGCAGGAGTCCAGAGCCAACCATGTGACTTTCCAACCAGATTCTATGGAGGTTGCACTTCCTGAGGAGCCCTGCCAGTTCCTGTGTAAACCTGAAACTTCTTCTAACTCTCAGAAAACTCATTTGAATCACAAACCAGGCTTCGGCATGAATTCTTTCTTGTGCGGAGCCAAGGACCGAGGTATAACTCTACCCTGAGAGATCTAACATAAGTGGTTCCATGATTCGGAGATATAAGGTAAGCCAGCTCCAGGAGTGGGCCCTCACATCCTGGTCTCATGGGTTTAGGGCACCTTCTGGACTCTTTTCACCTCAACACCCTCGGGAGATGGTGCATAGCTGGAAAGGAAGCCAGTCTGAACTCCTGCAACACCGTGGAGACGGATGGCTCCCTGAACTGACTCATGGGGATACTCGTAATGTATTACCACAGACCCATCCTTTTGTGTCCATCCTTTCTCCTTTTCTTACTGGTGTACGGGATTTTACTT